AGCTCATCAAAACTCCCCATTTATCACTATAAAAGTTGGGAGCAGAGGTCTTGCATCACAATGTGAGAAACTTCACCTAGTGTATAAGTGAAGGAACCTACAACAAGTTTAATTCTTCTTTTTGTTTGAGAAAACTTCTGTGTCCATGCCAAGGGCAGCACTGGTTATCCTTTACCTTGTGTATTTGACTTGGCAGAGTTAGAGAGACAGCTTTGGCTGGAGGCAGTGTCCATACTCATGTTTTTGTTGGATATAGTCAATGTTCAACACGGCAGTGTCCACCTGTGGGTATCTATTTACAGGCTACAGGATGGGGATATTTGGGGTTTGGGTTTTTTTTTTCTGGCATATCCTGTTCTGCTTATACAGGCCAGGGCATGCTTTCTCTGTAGCACTGGCAAGAATAGAAATTGAAATTGCTGCTATATGACAAGCACAAAGACTTGTGTGATGATCTGGTCTTGGATAGTTCTCCATGTACAGCACTTAGTTGCGATGCCTTCTGTTCCCACCTTGTCAAGTTATTCATGTTAAGAGGAAGTTTTCCAGTAGCTTTTCCTTCTCTGAATATGAGAATGGGAGTGATATGTTATGTCTGAGCAGAAATTTAATTTTACGGGGTTGTTGGGGTTTTTTTTCTTATAATCTCCTAATTAAAAGAAAGGAGAAGGAGGAACCCCAGAGGCTGGCAGCCCCTCTGGGCTCTGCAGTCCTTGGTTGGCATTTAGGGACATTTCAAAATAAATACCCATCATAAAAAGATGTGGGACTGATAGCACACGCTGATGGTTGATTACACCTGAAATACTTCAAATGTGGCCATCTAAAATTGCAAATTCATTGGGTTATTTTGGCTGGGAAGTTTAATAAGGCTCAGTTTTGGTTACCCCTGGTAATGTTTCTGAGTGAGATAATCACTGTGGGTGGCTGTGCTTGGTTTTCCTTCTTTTGCACAGCTTTCCCTGGTTCTGGGTAGGCAGGGAATCAGAGCATCCAGCTGCCATCTTTACTGCTTTGCTTCTGCTGTGTTAAACGTTGCTGACAAAGCAAATGAGAAATCAGAATTGTCAGCCAAAAACCAATTGTAGCTCACAGTGAAATGGAAAATATCCACTCCTTTTGGCATATCAAATCCTTTCACATCTGCTTAAAAGGTTTAAGCAATATGTGGACTTGGCAAAAAAAAAGGGCCCACAATGTCTGGGTGATGATTTTCTGCTGAATGCTGTAATTACAAGGAGGTGTCGCACTATATTAGGAACAGTAAAGTACGACACAGACTCTCTGGCTGGGCTGCACAAGAGAGCCAGTTTTATTATTCTAGATCTTCATTTATAGACAGGTCCGAGAGAGTCTGAGAGGTAAAACTCTCATTGGTCATTAAACCAACACATCACCATCATTGGACAATAGGGTACTGTTGACTGTTTCTTGCAAGTAAACAAGGATCTAAACAACACCTGCAGAGGTTGTTGCCCTTCTCCAAGGACTGTTTGTATTCCTCCTTATGCTTTCTCAGGCCGGAGTGAGAACTTTGTGTCACTTAGTTTCACACAGACACTGTGCTCCCTGCTTGCTTCTTGAATGTAGCATCCACAAGGAGGCAACTGTACTTTGTGTTGGAAGTCACCAGGATGCAGAGTCATTGGGGCTTTGCTTGGACTTACAGAATGGTTTGGGTTGGAAAGGACTTCAAAAACCATCTTGTTCTAATTCCCTGCCATGGGCAGGGACACCTCTCACTATCCCAGGTTGCTCCAAGCCCTATCCAGCCTGGCCTTGAACAATTCCGGAGATGGGGAAGCCACAGGTCTGTGCCAGGACCTCACAACCCTCACAGGGAAGAATTTTTTCCTACCATCTAGTTGAGATCTATTCAGAAACTTCACTTTTATCCTACATACATCCAAATGGTCTAACTATCATAGCTTGCTATCTCCAGCCCTGTCTGCACTGCGGGCATCTTCCTCCATAAAACAATATTTTCACATTATTAGTAGTAAATACAGCAGAGGCCAGGGACAGAATACTTCCTTGGAGCTTTTATGGGTGAAATTCATGGCATGTTGCATTGTTGTGAAGTCCTCTCTCCGAAGAAGCAACATGGTTTCTGATGCATTAGGCTGATTCAGCCAAGATCAGGGTTCTTGACTCAGGCCAGTCATTGTTCTGTGGGAAGGACCTTCTTATCACCCCTAAATTTTAATAATTTCAGCTATAGTCCTGCTTTAGTGTTTCACTTTCTTCAGTTTTTCTCTAATTTCCTCCTGTTTTCCTTTTCAAGTTCTATTTTTCCTTCAAAATCAACCAGTTCCTCACATTTATGCCATGCTGCCATGTAATGTTGTTAATGTCACAGATACTGTGTGAATCTTAGCAAAGTCATTGATACGTTTATATCTTTCAGTTTTATTCTTTTAGTGAATTCCTTGTTCATGCAGTGCTGTACATCCCCACAGATTCTTACCCTAGTAAGATTTTCATTCATTTTCTGAATGTAAAGGATGTACTTTTGCACATCCCTGTTACTCTCACTTGGTTTCATCATGCACGATGAAATTAGGGTATTTTCCATACCAGTGCAGCACCAAGAGCCCCTGTTTCTCACAGCTTTTAGCCAGGCATTACCACTGGTGTGGCAAGGCAGCCCATCTGACCTTTTGTATGGCAGTGAGGTTCCAGGTTGCTCAACCTGTGGTCCAAATACAGACCTGAGATGGAGAGTAATCCATCAGTCTGAGGGTGCGAGTGATTTATCTTAATTCAGTGGCTACAGTGCTCAGAAAAACTGGGGGGTTATCCCATAGGAGAAACTGAGTGATTTTAAAGGGGAATCCCTGAATCTGAATAAGATGAGATGAGAACATCAGCAAAGACAGCTCAATAGCACCAAGAATGAGGACATGGATGAGGAACTCACTACCCAGATGTAAATCTTAATTGTGTGCTCACTCTGCCCTAAAAGAGAGTTTATGCAGAGATGAGGGGCCTGGGAAGCGAAGCAAGCAGAGCACAACTGAGAGGTACTGCAGATCTGGAGTGGGGGTGAGATATTGCTTATCTTTGGTCACTAATCTGCTTATTTGGAGAGGAGACATCTACCCACAGCTGTGGAAGTCTGGAAATGTTCTTGGAATGATGCAACTTGTTAACTGCAGGTAGTAGGAATAGATTGATCCTTCTATGTGGTGTTTATTCTTGAAAAGGTGAACTTTGGTTTCCCAGCCAGTTCCCCAGACACCTCAATGAAAGAACTGTGTTGAAAACTTGGAAGGGTTGTTGGGTGCTGAAGAGGGAAATGGGTCAATTGACTGTTGGATCATACTGAACTCTGTGGATAAATGAACCTTTGAACTGCACCCTCCTCCAAGTTCTAAGGTCTGAGCAGTACAGGAAATGTATTCTTTGGTACCTCTCTGGGTTTTGGAGTATATCATTTACTCAAAGTGTACTATATACTTTGTGTACTTTATATTATGTCTCAAAGTATAATGAGGTTGATAAAAGTATTTCTAATTGTTGAAATCACAGTTCAGCAATGCCAATAACTTACCCCATCTCCCTGACAGAAGAAAATGTTTTTATTGTTACAGTTATAGACAATAAATTAATGTACCCTGAGAGAAATCCATGCAGGAAGTTTCCAGGCAGCTTCCCGGTACTTTTTTATTACTTTGAGAAGGACAGGGAGCTTAGGTCAGGTGATGAGAGCTCAGGTTCTAAAATGCTGCCTTAGCCCTCAGTTGTGGGGTTTTTTTGAGGGCAGGCAGGAGCTGACAGGACAGCTGGATTTTTCATGTTTCCTTTTGATGTCTCCACACTTCACAGAATAAAGGCAGTTATGTCCACCAAGTGTGGGGCTTAGTGTCTGTCTCCTTCCTTATCCGGTGGATGCAGTGTTTGGTTGCAGTGTTTAAGGAATTAATAAATTAATGTTCGAGAGAAGTTCAAACACAAAGATGCTATTTTATCACTTGCTGATTACCATGGTTAAATAAAAAAATTGCTCAACAGTATCATCCAAGAGTTTTTTGTGTAACCACCTACATGGTATTGCCTAAAATGTTCGTTGCAGCCCCTCAAGGTGTCCAAGCTTAGACTTTTGCATGGAAGTGCTTTGGTCTGAGGATTGGCATCTCTCTGCATCTTCTGGTTATGACAGCAGAGCTTCAGTGGGAGCTTGGTGGGAAATCAGGTGTGAGGCTACTGCAAAATTCTTATTGTGATGTTGAGATAGAGTATAAAACATTCCTGACTTGTGCAGCCTCTCTGGAGTTTCTTAGGTAGGGTTTGCATCCAGTCTGTGTACAGCAACTGGAGCTGTGTATAGCAACAGACAGCTAGACCTGTTGTGCACAAGTCCTTACCTGGTGAAAATTGATTTTGTCCCAAGGAACATGTTCCCATTGTCCCATCTCTGTGAGGGGCAAGACATGCCCCTCAGCGACTGACCAGAGTGGTTTGACATTTCTGACACGTGAGGAATGCTGTGAGGAAACGCTTTTCAGATTCCAGCTGGGGTTTCCAGTTACAGCTTTTATATTGAACTCTTGGTGTGGCTGGAAACTTTCGCCAGCTGTCAACTTCGGAGTAAGTGGCAATCTGCCTTCTCAAACAAATGGCCTCGACATTTATTTTTGGTTTCATGTTTGTTACACTTGTCAGTTACAATTCCTGGCACAGAACATCCTTGACCCCAGAGTAAGAAGTGCAGTGATCGCCTGTTGTGAGTGGGGCTTGGGATAACCTGTTTCACGCAAAGGCAAATAACAGAAGGCCCTGAGCTGTGAAAAAATCAGTTTATAATCAATGGAATAATGGACCTCAGTAACTGAGAGGGTTTCATGCTATGGTTTCCACATCATGAGCAGAAGGATTTTTTATGGGATGCAAAGACTGAGTGTGCTGAAGCGTGGTGGCATATGGAAGTAAATAATTTTTACAACGCATTTTCTTTATGTGCCTCCTTTTTTCTGTTTGTTGTGTTTGTTCTTCAACAGATTGAAAACATAGATGCATGCCTGAGTTTCTTGGCTGCTAAGGGGATTAACATCCAGGGGTTGTCAGCAGAAGGTGAGTCCACTGGTTGTTTAAGATTTCATGTTAAATGAGGAGCCTGAATTACTACCTGTGATTGCAAGTAGAACATGGAGTGTAATGGAAGATTAATAAGGTCAATTTAAACTTCTGACAATCTTCTTTTTTTCCCCTATTCAGTGTGAAAGGTAGATAAAATACGTATCTAATTTCTACACACCTGACTTGTAAAAATAATCAATGAAACCAAATTAGAATTCAGTCATTTCTTTACTATTTTATGTTTAAAACCAGAAATTTCTTACCTCAGTTCTATAATTTGCACATTAATCAGTGTATATTTTACAGATATAAGTGAACTGCTGTCAGTTGTTTGCTTTTTCAGAGAAAAATTTATTTCCTTGTTCTTAAATTATTCTCTAACAGGAACAACGATCCTGCTTTCTTCTCATTTTAAAGATTTTTCTTGCTTCCAAGTGCACAAAACAATCAAATCCAAATATTTGGAGCAAAAACAAAAACAACAAAAAACCCCACAACAACAACAAAAAAAGAGAAGACATTTTGACCTCTAATTAAACACTCTGCTTTTGAAGAGCATCAGAATTTTTCTGAGACGAAACTAGGTTTACTCTGTTCCTTTATGCCAGGCTGTATGGTACCTGTTGGCTCAGAAGCTGTTTAGCTGTTATCTTATTATGAGATCATACAGATTTCTGTCATCCTCAGCACCAGCTTTCACTTGTATTTTCATTTAAATATGCTGGAAAAGCAGTTGGGTTCAGTAGCTGAATATATGATATGACAACTCCCAGTGCTTTACAGAACGAATCATTGAATGTGTGGCAATAGATGAGACTTCAAAGGTACATTAGATGACTGAGTCTCTTCACAAACTTAGTTTGGAGGAGGAGACTGCAGCAAAATAGCAGATATTTAGTATACATTGTTCTAACTTGAATATACCACATCTAGCACAAGAGGAGGCTGAATGTTAGATGTATTCTTAGGCTGGATTAGAACAGCATTAACAAATACTTTCTTTCAAAGAGAGGCTTTACTACGGTCCACCTGAGTTCTGCCAGCATTATATGCCTCAGTTGCTCAGTTATAATCAGAAGGATTCTCGTATCAAGAAAAGAAAGCATAAGTTAAACCTTCAAACAGCATAAAATTTGTTCACCAGGAAATGATTAAAAAGAAAATGCAGCTGATTCGGTTGTAAAAGCCAATTTTGACCTTAGTATGGAAATATTGTAAAAAAGCATTTCACATTATTTACCTGTCTTGATAGAAAGTAAAATCTAAGTAAAGCAGCAGATCAGTGATGGGAAAACTGCCTGAGTGTACAGAGTTGGCAGCGTGGTGTTGCTCATGCTGGGGAAGGGACAGCATGATTAATGCCCATGGCTCTCCTGCCAAGTCACAAGTCAGGCCCAGCAGGTTCCATGTTATCCTATGGCTTCACTGATTTGGGATTTCTGCCTTTCTTTTACACTATCTAAGAATTAGTTATTAAGTCACACAGAGGCTAAGAAGGGACCAGTAATGTTTGCTGCCAGCATATAAATGAGAGCGTTTACTGGCTCCAGCATTAACATTGAAGGAAGAAAGTGACAACTAGAGAGGGGGACAGAATGAATACATTTTTAGAAAATAAATTAAAAGACTTGAATGCAACAGTAATTTTCTCTTTCTAGTTGATCCAGCACTGTGCTGAGGAACACAGAATAATTTAAAGTGAGGAATTTTGTTACCAAACAAGCCAGTGTTTCTGTGCAAGATGCCAAGACTTGCTAGGTCAACTGCAAATAACTTTATTTACTTCACTGGCAGATCCTCATCTAGGAGGAAGGAAAAGGTTGTGATTGTTTCCAAATGGGAATAATCACTGAAGTCTTCTGGGTTTGTTAAGAGCATGTATTTTTCAATAGTGTAGCTTCAGTGTGGAGGGAAGTTAGTAATTCAAAACTGGAATTTGGATGACTACTGAATGTTGAAATAATTTTGGGCTGCACATGTCATATCCCTCCAGTGTTGAAAAATCCTGCTTTGATATGTGCATGCCACTTACACAGTCTATTTTGATGGATTTATGCATTGCAGATACTGAGCATCTGCAATCACTGATGGTGACTGTGCTGTGCTAGAGGATTCCCTTCCCCAGAAACGTGGAGGCAAAGAGGCATCCCCTTATCAAAGATTCTAAAACATCTAAAGTCTCCATTTGTAGTTACTAGGAAAACTATGGAGAGCTGGAGACCTCTTTTCACTTCTTGCTGCAAATTTTTATTGTTCATTCTTTGAACTGTCTTTCCATACCCATGCTTTTAGACTTGTTTTAGACTCCTGCAATTGCAGCTGCCCAGCAAAGCTTGCTCTCCTTCACACAATATCTACTTGCTCTCAAGATATTGACAATATTGGAGGACATAAATGTGCAATAGAAACTCAAATTGATATCACAGATAAGCAGCTGCACATCTTTTGGATAACAGATGAGCTGGATAATGATCAGCTGAACACATGGAACAGTGATGTAGGGGAAACAAGCACCAACAGGGATATCCCAGGATGGAAATCAGCAAAGAGTGGATTTATGGGGTTTCCTTTGAAAACCAAATTCCAGTTTCCTTGCAAGTGTCTGGAGTGTTTGTTTCCAGTATCCAGGACAGTAATTTTTGGCTCCACATTTTGAATGGGTGGGTGACATCCTTGTCCTTATCTGAGTCAATATAAATACCATGGACTGGAGAGGACTTGAAGCAGGAAACATTTGAGACTCTGCTGATGTGCAGAGTACTGTGAGGCTGAAGTACTCTTTGAAATAGTCCTTTTGTATGAAGTGCAGGGTAGAACTGCCAGAATTACCTCAGTTTTGAAGATAAAAGAAACAGAGGTACCTCTGAAAGTCCAGTTTAAAATGTTTTGTTTCAAATCCAGAGGGAGAGAGACTGGTTTAACTCATTAAAAGTATTCTTCATTTGATTATTTGGTCAAAAGCAGGTTGCTCTTCTGATGAATTCAGCAGGCAGCCATAGAAATCAGCAAGTTATAGGTGGGTTACTGTTATCATTGCTTCTCACTTCACATAGAAATCAGTTTCCAGTTGCATATAGCTTTTCTAAATTTAAACAAGCAGGACCATGGTAATTTCCTTTATCTTCTGGCCTGTATTTGTGCAGTTAAGCTTCCCAGTGCCTCTGGATCTGTTTAGTTATGCTTCAACCTGTGATTAAATGCTACTTTCCTTACAGTTCCCATGAGTAATTTGAGTTCTTTACTGGAGATAAGGAAATTCTTTTTACTGTATTCTGCTGTATTTTGTCTGTCCTACTTCCATCCCTGTCCTCCCAAGCTAAACACAGATTATTGAAGAGAACCTGCAGATTAGAGAAGGAACCTGCCTGGTGCAGTGAGAGAAGGCTGTGTTTGTGCATGGCACTGCATGGGAGCAGGAGTGGGCTGGGAGAAGGGGAAGCAGGCAGGATTAATTGGGATCCCACTGTTCAGGAATAGACTAAAATTGGCCAAGAAAACAAAGGAAGAATGAAAATGGCTGCTGAAGGGCCCTGGGAATGATAATCCTTTAAACAAGAGAATGGAGGGTCAGTGGTGGGAGAGAGCACTGATGGAGGAGCCAGGCTGCAGTTGGAAATGGAGTCAAGAAGTACGAGAGGAAAGGAATATCCTGGGTCTGGGTGGTGACCAGGGCTACTTAGAGAAGGTCTAATATTCTTGGAAGATGTTGGCATGGATTGAGACAAATTTCAGAAAGAAAGTAAATTATATTAGTGGCTGGGAAGGGAAAGTAGATTGAGGTGCAGGTAGATAAGTAGACCAAAGCTGCAAGCTGGTACTGAAAGGGGAAACAACAGTTTTAAACCTTGAGCCTCAGATCTGCTGGGTAAAGTGCTTAGGATTAGGAGCAGAAGCTTCTTTATACAGCAAAGATGAGCAGTGTGAGCAGAAATGTATCTGAGAGAGTGAGTAAAGGATGGAGTGAGGCCCATCACAAACTCAGAGCAACTTTTCAGCCAGAACTGGAAACAAAGGAAAATTCAGGTTGTTGACTTTGTGCTGGGCCACTGTCTTGCCACACCTCTCTCTCTCCGTCTCTCTTTCTCTCTTTCTCTCCTTCCTTCCTCCCTTCCTTCCTCCCTTCCTCCCTCCCTCCCTCCCTCCCTCCCTCCCTCCC